CCTACCAGACGAGGACGAGCAACAGCGCACAGTACAGTTGAAGTTTACCAAGACCTGGCTGATTGAAGGAAAGTTGCAGAGATAAAGAACTCTTATGTACGGTGGAAGGACTGGCACAACTCGTAAGGTGCTAGGAGAGGACCAAGATACCTCACGATCAACGGAATAGTCCCGATACAGACAACAGTGTCCGATGCTGAGCAACAAGGGTATCAGGCGGGAACTTTGGAGAGGAAGAAGACATCAGATTTGCGGCTGGAGGCAGATCCTACCACTTTCTCTCATTTTGAATAGGTCTATTTGACAGGCCCAAGAAGGGAACCTGAGAGGAGCAAGTTGTTAGGGCAAGCTGACAGTCAATCCTCCCTCAAGTGAGCAATCAATGCTGGTTAGGGGTCCTTCAGCCAAATGGAAGGAAGCGTGAGTGTGTTTCATGAAGTAATATTTTATTCTGACTTGCCGGGGGAATAGGAACCGGACTGATGCTCCCCATAATGGAAAAGGAGCCAGGCTGTTGCATACTGTAACGTGCAGACCAGAACAAGAACCGACCTTTCAATACAAAGTATAAGATAGCACAACGGAAGACTTAGATGCCAGTGATCCGAACAATCAATGTTGAAATGCAGCCCTGAACATACATCATCATCATTGTTACATGGTGTGAAATGGGCCTGGCGCTTCACACAGGAAGACTGCGCCAGCCCATACCATACACAGACGACGAGGAAGGGGATAGACGAAGAGGAGGGGGRAGATGGGAATGTCGTCAACACCAAGTCTTCGGCACAAGCCCAAATAGTCCCTCGTTGAAATGTCTGAATCCCAAATGTCAAGTCTGGATCCAATGTCGTCAAGTCTCAAGTCACAACTCTGTCTCTCTCTGTTGTAGTCTGAGAAGTCAGGTGGCGAGAGGGTGAGAAGAGAAGGTGGACTTAGAAGAGGAAGAAGAAGAACTCTCTCTCTCTCTCTGTGTCCAGTACTAACCTGTGAAGTTGGCGCCTTGATGCAGGTACCACGAAGATGGAGCTGGAGCGATGGCGCCACAGGTAAGTCCCACTGGCCTCCGCCAGTCTCTCTCCCACTCTGCGATCTACCACCTACCAGCGCCCAGCGCTGAAGACTACAGCTACAGCTATGGCGCCCAGCGCCGAAGACTACAGCTAACGCTAATACCTGCCTAGCGCTGAAGACTACTGCAGCGCTCCTCCTGAGTGCTGCGGCCGAGTCCTGAAGACTACCTCGTGCCTACTGAACTACCTACCCGTGAAGTGCATGGGAACTTCCTATGTACTACGGGTGTGCCTCCTGAGCCTGCCGAAGGGAGGCAGGGGCTGCAGCTGCAGCTCCTGCTCAAACTCGTGAGGAACAGGCTATTTCTGGCCTGTTCCGCATCCCTGTTTACGTGCCTGAGTCTTAGGGGCAGGTCGAAACAACGAGGGCCTGAAAATGGCCCTCCGTTTCAGGCTTAAAACTCTGGGTCTGAAAAGACCCAGACATAGGCTGAAACGGGGTAGGGCCTGCAGGCCCTCGTTTTTCAGCTTCCAGGCTGAAACGAACGGGGCCTGTAAGCCCTAAGTTTTAGGCTTTTAGGCTGAATGTCCGGGACGGGCCCTGCAGGGCCCGTGTGGCTACGCAGTATGCCACACAGGTCCATAAGGACCTGTTTGTTGAAAAAAAGAAAAAAATAAAAGAAAAAACATAAGGTGAGTTATCAGTCCGGAAGTATCTTGCCTGGCAGTCTGTCCAGATACATGTAGTGGAGCAAGGTCCATTCGAGATAGATCGAGAGAAGAATATAGCTTAGGTCCATTCTTGGGCTTGCACCTCGGACAACTCTGACATCACGATTCCAAAATCTGTACCCATAACTTTTTCCACAGATGTTTCCACAGATGGCAGGGACGTTGCAGACGGATATAATCTCAGCAGAGCCTCATCACAAGCATAGTGTTCCCCTCGTGGCTGAGGGTGAAAGAGCATCAGTTGTTGCCAATGGTAACTGGTCCGTTGGACGACAAGATGACAAATTGGAGAAGGGGCCTACCCGACCCACATCTTAAGAAGAATGTGTGGCGGTTCTCTGCTGCTGATCTGCAAAGGTCAGCGACGGATATCCTCTGCCCGTTTTTCTTAAGAAATGGGGTCCTGGCCGATCTTTGCCACTGATCTGCACGATCGGCGGCCAAGATTGGCCACTTTTCGGACTTGAAAAATCTGGGCCTACAGGACCCGGTTTCGAAATTGTGGGGAGGGCCCACCCCCACAAGACCTCGGGAGCACATACGCGCCGGCCCAAAAAAAAATTCAGGCCCCAACGAAAATGTGCTGAGGGCAACCGGGAGGGAACCGGCCCGGGCTACCGGCCGGTCCAACCGCGAGGATCGCAGATGGGGCAGGGGTCCCCGGTCCATCCGCGGACCAGCCCTGCTGTACTCTCTTTTCAGCGCACCTGCACATTTTTGTCAAGGTGCAAGGTACGTCTAAGTAAGACCCTCATGACAGGTAGGACAACTGTCATAAGGATGCGGGTGATGGTAGCAGCCCTCCTGCTGATCTACAGGACGAAAACCGTTCAGGTAAGCAACTTCGTCACAGGAGGAGCCAGGGCGGCTAACATTAACCATACCTCTGAAGCATGCACGACAGAGGGCATGCCGGTTGCAGGCCATGACGATTGTGGGGCGTTCACCATCACACTTAAGTGCATATTCGCTATAACGCTCGCAGGCACAGATGGGACATAATGCATCTTGATGTAGACGATGTTCACAATCCGGATACAGGTGGCCCCTGCCGACAACGAGCCCAAAAAATTATACGGTTGTAGTGATGTCGACAAAGTCGATGCTTTCCACAACCAAGTGTAACTGTGTCAGTGATCTCACAAAGAAGGAGGTCACAAGGTGTTAGTGCAGCATGAGGGGGAATGAAGACTAAAGCAGGCACGGTGACAGACGTGAAGGTAGGCAAAGAGACAGACACAGAAACAGGAATGGAGACAAGTACGGAGGCAGGCACAGAGACAGGTGCAGAGGCAGGGACGAAAGTACACGAGGTACCCGTAGTGTCAGTAATCTGGAAGGAGACAGACAAAAAAACAGGCACAGAGACAGGTACGGAGGAAGGCACAGAGGTAGGCGTAGAGGCGGGCATGGAAGTACACAAGGTACCCATCGGGTCAATGACCTGGAACAATTGCAGGTTAGGGTAATTACGCACGAGATCACAGATGGCAGTAATAGTTCGCACCATAACACCGCCATTCCATAATTCCCAAGAACCAAAGGCACAGACAAGAGCGGTGTAGTGGCCAGGAAGATGTAGAATATAGGCACAAACGTGCGAATAGTGGTCCGGGTCGGCACCCGAAGGGGCACGCTGCATATTAAGCCGGCGCCTTATCAAAGCAGTCTCCAAAACAGAGACATTGAATCCCCGATGTGGAGTGTAATTACTATCTTGCGGGGGATGCAAAGTCGGGTTATCGTCATATAACTCACGTTCCTGAGCATCAGGATCGGAAGCAATGGCCAAGAAATCAGAGTGAGTATATGGTTCCCGACGATAGGCTTGTAAGCAGATGTTAGTAGCAGCGAGGCCACACATATTCGGTCGAGGCCGGTCAAGCGAATTTTCTACAGAATCTCCTACAGTCCCCTTGCCAAGTTCATCCTCGGATGGTCCTTCACCATCATCCCTCCTATTTTGTGTTTGCCGCGTTGCAGAAAGGTCTGCAGTCGAAGAGTGTCGCAGGCGTGGTAAGGATGCTTGGGGCGGCAAAAGACGGGGACGGGATGTTGGGGAGGGTTGTGGTGGGAAGAATGAATGGGTTTTTCTTCGTCCAAGAACAGAGATGGAGGAAAGGGGAGTAAGCTGAGGTTGGGAAGTAGGCCGCAGCCTGCGTCTAGGACGGCGAAGTAGGCTTTCTGCAGGGGCAGAACATGATGACGGAGTCTGTGTGGATAAAGTGGTTTGTGGATTAGGAAGAGGGGTAACAGATGGAGACAAAACCAGGGGAGGTAGGAGTGGTGAATGCGCTGAAAATTGAACGTGGTAGACTCTTCACCAAAACTGCAAAACTGTGAAAGAAAGAAGAATGTTGTAAAAGAAAGAAGATATTTGTGTCAATTTTTTTTATTAATTTTTTTATTTTTTTCTCCCTCTGCCATGGTAACCCCGGACCCAGACACCGGACATTCCAGACTGTTTCCCGGACCATTGTCTGGACCGGTCCGGACTGTCTGGTGTTTCGGACACCACCGGACACCGGACAACACCGGACACCGGACAACACCGGACACCGGACAGTCTGGACATGCATCCGAGGTCCGGGGATGTCTAGACCGAAAAAAAAAAAAAAAAAAAAAAAAAAAGGTGCGGGGGGTGGAGGGGTTGTCGGCAGGAACTCACGTGCTTTGCACTTCGGAGGAAGTTCATGCAGCAGAGCACCTGTCTTGCTGCAAATCAACAACCACATTGAATTACCAAACATGCAGAGTTGTGAACAGTGCAAAGCATGCAGAAGACTAAAAAAACAGAAAAAAAAAATCAAAAAAAGTTTGAAAAAGTTTAAATAACTTAGAGAAGTTTGAACTTGAAGAGTGTTCATATTACCAGCACTGTCAGTGCCCTCTCTCTCTCTCTCACACACACACACACACACACACACACACACACACACACACACACACACACACACACACAGACGCGCGCGCGCGTCAGTGGGATGTCTTGCGCAATGTAGACAGGGGTTCTGATTCGGAGTCGCCCTCTTCCTCCGACGAACAACCATCTTTCTCGTCGCCTTCGCCTTCGTCCTCCTCGCCACTGCCATCTGTCCCATCGCAGCCACCGCTCTCGTCGTCACCATCGCCGCTGCCATCACTTTCGTCTCTGCCGCCATCATTTTCATCAGCGCCGCTACCACTTTCATCGCTGCTTGTCCTTCCTGGCGCTACTTCCTCCTCCTCTTGCACGGGCTGCTTCTGCGGTCGTCCCCGCTTTCTTGTGAGACGTGCGGGTGCAGGACCTTCTGCCAAACTGCCACCTTCCACGTCCTGAGCCTCCTCATCACCTGTCCGGCCTCGAGTTGCAACCTCCTTTCGAGGTCTCCCTCTCCCTCGTTTGGCCGGGATCGAGGGCGGTTCACATGCAATTGCCATGGCAGCTTTGTATTTTTTGGCATGCCCAACGATCATGGTCCTCGTGGCCTGATCCAACTCATGCAAATGTTGCCGGTCCAGAAACTTGGAAGCCTTTGTGGCCTTCCTCCACTACTCGTTGAGTTGTCTCTCAAGTTCAAGCAGATTGCTGCGCAGTCGATGACGTTGGATTGTGACCTCCTTTGGAATAGGCATTTGTGGTGCTTCAACGGGATTGCCGTCGTGGTCGGAGCCTGAGTCATCGTTCTCACCTGCATCACCGACCAGCTCTGTTCTGTGCAGCCGGGCACGCCACTCCGCCAACCGCATTCGTGCATCCTTGGCCATCTCATCCCGTGTGAGATCTTCCACTGGTTCATCCTCTTCCCATTGCGGTGAACCCTTATCGGCCTTCGGCTTCTTGATCAACGCATCCAACAAATGCTGGTTCCATCTGTTGAAAACCAGTGTGCTAAGCTTGATGGCACCGAGGTTGTTACAGAGACGACTATGAATTCGTTCGAACAAGCTCCAGTTCCTCTCGCAACAAGAGGAGGAGGACGCTTGTCCAAGCAGACGAACGACTTGCTTCTGGAGGATGGGCATGTCACTGCACCACTTCCTCCACCACCTCGCTGGCTGCATCAGACGGGCCTGCATCCTTGCATCTCTACAATTGTGTCCCCCAGTGCCCTCAATCCAACAACAATCCTCTGCGTCGACCTCAACAAACGACGACTCTTTGCATCACGAGTAAAGCCACATCCAAACCCATCTGCAACCTCTGCATTTGTTTCTGGCCGCGACGCTCTGTATTCCAGATCCAAGAACAACGCAGCACAATGTAGCGGTGATGTCATTGCATTCCAGCGCCACATGATGATCTCGTCGAGTTCGTCCTTCTCCGCTTCGGCAAAGTGCTTGCTGTGACGCACGTGCGGAGGGCACGTGCGGAGATGGTGTGAGAGAGAGAGAGAGGGAGAGGAGATGGACACACACATGAAGCAACAGCTGAGTGGAGGTCCAGTCCGGCTCAATGAACGAACGAACAACTGAATGAATGAACCTGCCGCCCTGGACCTAGGCCGAATTGATATACCGGCCTGGGTCCAGTAGCGGAATAACCTGGTACCGGACCAGGGTCAGGCCGGCGGCCTGAAACTGGTCCGGCCTCCTTGCCGGGCCGGAGGGATACCGCTCCACGATCCTCGGACCTGTGAA